CCTACAGAATGTCAGCAGTAGATCGACTATATGTGCGAAAGATGATTTGATGAAAACCTGTAACATTGGCACGGCGCAAAGGTCTGTACTTTTGGACGATAGGTCATTACCGAATCTGCGGCATGTCTCACGAGTTTTCTAATGTTGATCTCGTCTGCAGCCGCTGGATGGGATCGAGCCATAGAGCGAACACTCAGTCAATGCTGCTGCATAAGTAGAGTGTATTGCTTCGTCAAAGTCAGCCGGCATTTAGTTAGTATTGCTGTTCTCTGACCTTCTTCCTTCCGCTAGACGGGATATTTCTTTCTCAGAGTACATCAATCTGCTCTTGCTGGTTGAGGCAAATTATGTTCAATACAGTTCTTAATTTGTTATTGAATTAAGCATAATCTTGCCTGATGGAGCTGAAACATAGAATTAAATTTCGTGGTTCTAGGCAGAAAACGATCATCGACCTTAAACGATTGCTGAAAGAACAAGTGACGTATTCCCTATTTCTTTCAAGGAAGTGACTTTCGGAACATCTTTTCACATGCTGGCTTATTTTCCTCTTAGCGTATTCGTATTATAGTACAATTTCACCACGCAGAATGAGGCCCAGGCTCACTATGAAGAAAAGATGAATGCGTGGACGATGAAGAATAAAAGCATCTCTTCGTAATTGAATTCGAGAGGCTGCAGGAAACGACTCTCACCATTTCATACTGTAATAGGCTAACGAATTTGCGTTTTAATAAGAATTTTCTACTTTCATTCCACATGTACTTCTAACATCGTAAGTATGGGCTCATATGTTGGAGCAGATTATTATTTGCTTAGTTGTCTTAATACCGATATCTGCCGCGTACTGCTCTTCAAGTTTGGTCCTAATTATTTAGAGGGGTTGTTTAGGTACGTCGTAACACGGTGGTATTTCATTGTCTGTAGTACTGTATGAAACTTGCATCAGTTGGTTGACTAGAACAGCGCTACCATGCTCGTCTCCAGCGAAATGTTAAGTGTCACTGCTCCTTATACTCTTTAGTAAAACAGCGTTATGTACAGGGTGCGAAAAGGCGAGTAACTTTTGTAGCTGTCAAGAAAATCATGCGATGTCCACGTTTGCGATATAGGTGCAAGTGCATAAATACCATATTTTGACGCCTGTCTACTTCTGACACTATGCAATTGTTCTACTTTATATATTAGAAACGTTTTACATGTATAGAAAATTATAGAAAATACAACGTTAAGTTTTTATGATTCATATTTGTTATAGAAAAGAATCACGCTTTCCACTGGGAATGAACTAATTGACAAGCATGTAAAGATAGAAGTAGCTGATAATGAGTTTGGTGTTACATGAGAAAAAGAAAAAGTGTTCTCGATGAATGGGTTCAGCCCCTGATAATCCGCCATATTCCTGTTTGATCCAGTTGTAGTTGAGCAAGGTCACTATTTGTGTACGAAATTCTCATCCACTTATGATCCTCAGAAGAATTTCAAAGAAGTACCCAAGAGCTGAACGATGTCAGCATCAAAGTAGGACTGAAATGAAACTGAAGAAGATCAGGTCATGTTTAATCAATACGTGACCCCGTGACCAGTTGAACTCAACGGACTAAAATTTGACATGGTGCTAAACTAAGTCTCTATTTGAGACAGGTCATCTTAGCAGCAGAGAACCAAATATGCAACATCAGCAGAAAAGTAGCATGACATGAAGCAGTTTTATCCGGGAAGCTACCCTCTGTGTTTGCAACGACAAATTTTCGATCAAAATGTGCTCTCAGTGCTAACTTACGGAGGCGAAACGTAGGCCTTAAGACTGAAAGCTATTCAAAATCTACAGACTAGGCAACGCAGCATGTAAAGTTACATGATGAGAATAGCAAGAAAAATTGGACGAGGGTCTGCGACGTCATTGTGAAAGAGTTAAAGTGGCAATGAACAGGACATGTCGCACGAAGAAGTGACCATCGCCTGAACAGCGAGAAATTTAAAATTGGTTCATAGGCGTAGTAAAACACAAATCGATGGCAGGACCAGCTGAAGAAGTTCTTTGGATCAAGATAGGTAAGAGTCATAGGAAACAGTTTATGTCAATATCTTGGAGAGGCTTTCATATAGCAGTGCATGGAAAACCTGAAGATGAAGATTATTAGTTGCCTCGTTAGTAGAAAATGACTTGTTTTAGTGCTTACAATAAGTATAAACAGTAAAAGCAGTTGAATATTAGGATGAAACAGTTGGAAGCCTGGATTAATTTATTCCAGGTTTCTAACCTTGTCTTATTTTAATCGTTTACCCTAAGAATCTTGAGTATGTATTTTGAAGCGTTTGAATATATGAATGCAAATAATATATTAAGATATTGTTGCTGAGTGAACGTTTAAAAAAGGCTTTTGTTTCAATGATTTGAAGCATGAAGAAAGTTCGAAGTCGAAACAATTGATCGAGGAGCGAAAATTTCAAACAATACCGAATTGTTCATCATCTGTGTATAGAAGTATTTGCCCTGATTTGTAGATTATGGTGCTACAGTGAAACAATTTGACTTTGGAGCTTCTTCGTGCCTCTGACCATTGAACTGTAAATAGTTTTCTTTGAATCCGCTGGCCCACAAGCAGTATGAATTTCCAGTGATTAGCAGGATGTTTGTTTACAGCGATACAACCTCGAATGAGTGTGTCAAAGCAGGATGCAGCAGAGAGCGGGCAATTAAGTTCAAACTGAGGACCGTGGATAAATATTCATGCGGAGATAGACGGCGAGGAGAGGAGAAACTGGAGTACCGTCAGTTAACAACATTAGTCTGACGACGCCGTCTGTCACTGACCCGCCAAACAATAAGCCAAACTGCTTATTATGACGCTTATCTATCTTACACTCCTTCATTTAGCATCTTGCTTAGAGACGTGATGATCCATTTTAAGAGGTGGTTTTCGAATTGCTTAAGTAATGGGTTCAAATCCCAAAAACGCAAAAGATTTCTCATAACCGATAATTACCCATCGTTACTTTGGTGCAACCAGCCGAAAAACGTGTAGCTGTTAACTGTTAAGCTGTCAACTTGCAAACCCACGGGCAGCATGACTTAAAAACTGATCTCTGAATTGGTCATTTCAGAATAGGTAGATGGTGCGGCCATGATGTCGGATGCGAATGCGTCTTATGGTTTCATTTCGCTTTGACCTATCCGATAGCTGGCTGTCCAGTGTAATTAATAAGCAGTGATTAATAATTAGTACAATATTTAGTTCCTGATGTTGTTGTTGCGTAGGAAGCCAGGTATGTTTCTGTTTAAAGAAATGTGATGAAAAGAGTAATTTAACCCAAGTTTAAACCGCTTGTTTCACCGTTAAGCCGAGTGCGCGTTTTCTAGATCGTCATCGAAGCGACCAATTTTGTGGCCAATACAGGAAAACAGAGGGGCGGCATTGCCATGATCGATGACATCAAATACAGTGCATGTTTATGCGGCTCAGGTAACAGTGCGATTTTCATTCTCGAGTCGATTTGCCTAATGTTTCCGTTCAGCACTGCGCATGCCGAAGCCTCCGAAAAGTCGGTATCAAATAGTTCCGACACGCTATGTCAAGATGCACACTTTACCTCCCGTGCGTCAGCCTGTAACATATCATTTGCGCCACGTTACTCGCCCTGCTGCCGTCACATCCAGACCCGCACCGCCGGTAAATGCCGTTGTTACCACTAGGCGAGGGCCACCTGCGGTGACTCCTCCTGCAGATTTCACGTGGCCGGAAGATTCTGCGACAACGGCCGTTGCTATCTCCTGGCCAGAGCGTAATGCAACAACGATCGCTCTTACGTCATGGCCGGAACCTTCACCAGTAGAAGCCGCAGTCACAGCTATGCTAGAAGTTACCAAGGTAACATTTGTAGCAGAATCACAGACTTTTGACTTCAGATCTGTCCTTTCAGGGCAGCCACGTCTATAAGGATATTGTGGCTGCTTGCAATGCGATAAAGTGCGATTTTGGAACAGGTAATTGCATGTGCGTTGCAGATGTTTCGATCTCAGCTCTCTGTAACTCCAACCATGTGTTCCCAC